ATACCTCTTAGCAATTTATTTACAATCTATGTTTGAGGGCTATAAAAATTCCTTCGGGATCATTAGCAGGAAAGATAAAACCTCAAAGGTTGCCTGTGGAGAATGATTGAGTCAAAAATAATTCATGATTAAACAATTTAGCACACTATTGCGTAAAGGATGCGGGGGCTATGCGATTGTGGCGTCATTCTATTGTCCCTGAGTTTAACCTTGTTTTTCACCCGAAGCTTCTGTTTCGCTTTTTTATTATGCTAAATACTATTGTCATTGGTTTAATTAAAATTGAACAATTTCTCTTCCCGTGTTAATCCCAGATTATTAGCCAAAGATTTATTCGGAGAACACCCTACAGACAGGGCCACGGAAAGTATGAAGGCGTTTGAATAAAAGAGTGACGCATGAGAGAAATAAAACCAAACATTCGTACGGAGGAATCGTTGTAGTTCCTCCTTCCTTCTGCTTCCTCAAAACTTCGAGGAGAATGCATCCATGATTGGCTTGTGGAAGCATCATAAAATTAGTCCCTATAAGACGTCAGAGTATATTAGCCTTACTTTCCAATGAAGAATCATCCCTTTCACGACGATGATGATGATGCCGGTGACGATCATGACGATGACGCGACTTCCGCTTTCTTTTACCGCCGGAAGTGTAGCTATTACTTTCACTTCTTCGTGAACTATCACTGTGTGTCTTGTTTGTCTTCCTCATCCTGTTGTGTGTTGTGAGGAATAGAATCTCTGCTATTCTCTCCATATTCTCTCTTACCTTTATCATGTGTTTAACCGTGACATTAGGTCCGTCGATATGAATTCTTCTCTCTTCTCTATTTAAAGACCTGTTTGTATTGTTATCTTCATGATCACGATAATGAGCTTCTTGAATATTGTCCTGATATATTTGAGTGTGATTTTACATCTGTCACGCTTTCTCTGTATTCAAGATTGGCCCTTTTTCTCATGTAAAACGTTTCCATTTCCTTGTTATTCCACGCTATCATTGCTGCTGCCTGACTTTTGACCTCGTTTCTTTCGATTTCTTACTTGTTTGAGCGCTTCAGTGACAGGAGAGGTATTGCTATGTTCCGGCAATCTCTCCTTCTTTAAAGCTGCTCTTACGTCGGGTTCCCATTATTCTTGTGACCTTTATATTCCTCTTCAAAAAATTTCTGTTTCAGGGAACAAGATAAAAAATTCTGTTTATACGGTCATTTAATTACTGAAAGGTAACATGTTTACTGGGTAAGTTTCAGTTTCTGAGCGCACAATCTTTTTGATCAAGAGGGGTAGAATGGGTCCGGAACTTTCGACTTAGTATACAACCAATTGAAACTTTGTTTTTATCGAAAAGGGAGGTTGGTAGACTGACAGGCAAAGGGGAATGAGAAGGGAAAGTTTTCTGCCAACGGGAGGCGGTGTCGCTCGGTACGATGCGTGTATAGAGAGGGTCAACAATTGTAAAAGTTATTCAATTCTTTTAATCCCAAGCAATTCTCATTATTGTCTGTCACACATTCCTCACAGTTCTAGATCTGAGTATTTGCCGTTGGATCAAAATAACCCCCTACTTGAGGGTTTCATGTATTCCATGCTTGATATAATGTTAAAAATGGAGGGAGAAATTATGTCTTACTGAGTCACTAATGGGAGTAATCACCCAAAATAATTCGTTATGTCGAATTTCTCATGAGTATTAAATCACACTCAAGTATCATCGCGAATTGAAATCTCCTTGTAATTCGACTGATGATCTGTCATGATGAACTGACTGACGTCCGTGACTGCTTTAATTTTAGGGGAAATCTTGTATTATCTTACTCTTTGTTGGCGTTATATACTTTGCCGCCCAAGATAACAACCGTGACTGTTCCGACTATTCTAGCGTCACGCTTCGCATGAGTCGGGGATTCCCTCAACTTTCCTTTGATGACTCCGGTTTAACAATAACACGCGTGAGAGCTTTATTAGCAAACATCCACACCATTCTTAGAAAATAATCGGTTCCAAGGCCAGGCAGGTGAATATCTCCGTTTGAAGCGGGAATAAGATGTAAATTTGTTAGTTTTACAGCTGAGACCCGATCAAACAGCACGCAAACAAATAAACACTGAAGAAACAGTTGAAGTTCAGTACCAGACATGGAATCCTTTTCACTGAGTAGAATGTTCACAAGACACCGTCATCTTTATTTATGAGTGTTTGTGGAATATGTGTCACTTCATATTACATGTATGGCTGACCTTGATGTTGATATTTTTTAAAACGTCTGTTAAATTTGAAAACAGAAAATAAATATTGATTTATGCCTGAGTTTCTTGTAAACTTCACTTTGACTTGAAGGAATTCGATTAGAAAATTGTAAAATGACAGAATCTCATTTCTAATTGTTTTTGAAATTCCTTCACATAATTACAGAAAAGTGGTTTTTCTCATTTAAAATTGTGCAAAAAGTGACTTTCTGATAAAAATGTATCCCAACGTAAAGAACTGGAACGTTAATAAAAAATCATCTGGAATAGCACAAATTTGCATAAGGTATTATCATTTTAAAGTAAAATGGTAAATTTCACCTTGGGTTGTTCTTCCTTTCTAGGGTGTTAAGATGAAAACTGTTGTTCATAAAACAAAATATCATGTTTTAGACTGCAATGGTACTAAGCCCACTAATATAATAATTAAAACAGTGGACTGACCAGAACACAAAGGGTGTACTAGAGAGAAAGGCTTGATAGAGTAGGATAAGGAGGGTGCTGTTTCTGAAAGGTGGCTCAACTGAGGGGAGGGCTATACTGATACCCATAACTGTAAATACCAGCACATGAACCACTGGGCCAACTCTTCTCCTTCAGTTGATAACTTCAGACATGTTCTATTTCTCAGGATAAAACAACAGCAACAAAATCACACTAAAACAACATTTATTTTTTTGGTAAAGGCACCTTTTAAAAATTAAACGCAACTAAACCACAAAATATAAGACAAAAGCAATTACTGGTAAATCATGTTATACATTGCAATTACACTCAATTTCAAACTTTTTTCCTGGATATCATGGCAAACATATAATGATATGTAGGAGCAAATATTTCGTGACAAGGGTTCCAGTCACTCAAAAGTCAGTTTTCAGAATGAACCTACTGGAAATAAAAATCTTAACAGGATATTCAAAAATTACAACAAATACAATCAATCTATAAAGTTAAGATGAAAATGCTGTACTCTCAATCAAATAACAAAAGCTAGTTATTAAAAAAGAAAAATGATTAACTAGTAACTTTTTCATATCTTTGTTATTGGAAAAACTTAAAGGTAATCTCATTGCAAATTTCTATGAACCTGTCAAATGTTTGTCACCCAAAGTGCTAAAAAATGCAGCCATGGTATCAGAGCATTACTTCAAAAGAAGATCATTTAGCATGTGACCACTTACATTTAAAGAACTACTGGAAAATATGTTAAAGTAAGGTTCAACCACACCAGTTAATGATAAGCAAACTCTTAAAAACTTAATTAATTTAGGTCACTATGATCAAAAACATAACTTTGCACACTTCTTATCATCAACATCTAAGCACAACACTTTTAAATCTATAAAATATCCTGACATCAATCCTCCTGGAAATCTCAATACACAGAGAGGTACCAAGAAATCGTCATTGTTCATCAGAATATCTGGATTGTACATAATATTTAATTCTCTGGACAAGCCAATAAATTATCTAGGAGAATTAATATTTGCCTCTTTAGAGTTTAGGGTTACTTAACTGCAGGGCTTAAGAATAATAACTGAAACAAACAAGTGTCTAGCTTTTCTTTTCATAATTTGTACTCAATCAAAATCATTTGACATTTACTCTTTCATGTGTCTAAAATCAAGATTTCTCTTTAGTAAAAGAAACCATGACGTCAACTTACAATGATCTGAGCCAGTAGACAGACTTGTACATGTAATATATAACCAATATCGTGACAACTATCATGCTTTCATGTGTATTATTAAATGTATTGAGTCCATCTTTTCGCCTCAAATATGCAATAAAGGAACTATTCTTTTCTCTTTTTTTTCTTTCAGTGGATATTGCTTACATCAGAAATAAAAGTTGCCACCTTACATGGCAGAAATCCAGTTAAGTTATTTCTGTCAAGTTTTTCTTTTTTAAAAATAGAATTTTAATAATACAAATTGAATCAATTGTGAATAAATTGCACCAATGAGGTTGCCAGGATTACTAGGGATTTCAAAGTTAATATAATAAATCAGGAAATAACTATGACATGATTCAACTCATAAAACTCCTGTTTTGGAAAAGCTTACAGTTATCAGTTCCTCGTAAAGCTTTCCAAAACAACACTGTGAAAAAGGAAATGTAAGGTTTTCACACAATGAGCACCTCAGTTGAGAAAGATGAAGTAACAGCAATGCGTCCATCAGTAGTCAGTGCAATGCCTTTAAGCCAGTAGGAACGCTCTCGTCGAATTTGAGCCCTGCGCTCAAACTTACCATCATTGGTGTATGTTTCTACATGCAGGAGTTGTTTCATCGAAGAAGCGACAACGACATGTTTACCTGCTCGGAGATAAGTAAGCCTAACTACAGAATTGAGATGTGGATTTTGCAGCTGAAAATAGTTAAGGTGGTCGCCGTGTTCACTGAATATGTGAACACCATCAAAGTTCCCCACCATAATATGGCCATCGTTAGCGATAGTGATATCCGACGCGTTATGCAATATTCCTTCTCCAAAGTTGCGAACAAACTCTCCATTAGTGTTATATTCCTCCACTGCTCTCGTGTTCCTCAATGTCAGTATTTTTCCAGCGTCACTGACTGACAATCCCCTGGACCAGTCCTCTTTTCTCAGACGAAACGTGTGATGCAGGTCAGCGGTTTTTGTAAGTTTATAAACCCACCAAGATCTCTTAGTTCCAGGCTTCTGCAGTTCGGTCAGCACGAAGATGTTGTCGTTGATGTCTGTGGCTACATCATAGATAAATAACTTTGAATCTACTTCATCAGTAGGGAGACTAAAATGTTTCACAAACTTGCCGCCCCTGTCAAACACCTTCACACAACCATTGTCATATTCCCCAACGATGAATTCTCCGTTGGAGTTTGTAGTGATACCCCACGGCTCCTTCAACTGCTGCTCCTCTTCACCCGCCGCACCAAATGACCAAGGTGTTACACAACAGTGCTCTATGCCTTGCTTGCGCAGAATTTTGATTACTCTTTCGTCCGTGAATAATTCAACGTCTTCTTTTCCGGTATCAACAACATGAGTGGGATAGATAGCAAAAGACAAATCTTCACCAAACGCTAACCTGACGTCATAGATGACAGGATTCACGTGATAGACATTGCAGATGATTTCCCTCCTTTCCTCTTTACCGACCAAACCCCTGACTGCCTGGAGTCCTTTTTTAGGCTGAACATCGAAACTTTTCTTTACAGCTGCCATGGAGTGTAAATCGTCAATACACACCCTGCATCGTGCTAATGCATCCGCGGGATTGTCCACTGCTTCCAGTATTGTCGCCATAACTCGGTATTGCATGGCTAGAATACGGTCGGATGTTTCTAGTGCTTCGTTGTTGAAGGCTTCTGTTGCTTTTTGACGAGCATCTTTGAAAGCTTCCTTTGCTTGACCGAGCTTTCTCGTTTCGGACTCATCAAGGTCACTAAGCTCCAAATTTTTCATTTCTTGAGCGACACAAACTGTTTCAGCACAAGCCGCTCGTGCTGTTACCGCACCAAAACCGCTTTGGGACCTTACCTTGTCAAACACTTCATACAACAACTCGATTCCTTCTTTGAAGAAGCTGATACTTGTCAACAAATCTTTCCTTGATAATCCATCCAACCTTGACTTGACATCGTCGATTTCACGCACGATGAGAGAACGAAACTTTTGGTCTATTACATCGCCATCTTTAAGTTGCTTTGCCGCTTTATCTCTGCCCTTATTCACAATTAAGCCGATAGTGGATTTGAATACCAATGTTACAATCGAAGACATGGATGGTGTTGCAGAAGATGCCAACACTGTTTCGTATCGAAATAAAATCACTGTTTTTGTTCTATTTGTGATCTCTGGCGCAACTGAGATGAGTTCAGTCCAGTCAACATTTACTTAGGACAGTGATGTCTGTTGATTGTGGTGATCAATTTTGACAGGATCATTGACAAGTAGGGCAGAACAAAATTCCTTATTCGTCAGTTGTAACAGCATGAAAAGACAAATTTAAGTTGGCTTAATGTTAGCGTAAAGCTGCCATACAGTTCTGCTTTACACAGCTTTACGACAACTTTACATTTCTTATAGGCACGCTTTACGCAGCCATTACGCTCTGTCTTGAAGCTAGAGTAATGAGAGTTCTTTAGGAGGCCTTTAAGCAGAGCGTTAAGTTGGTGTTAAGTAGAGATTTACACCAGCTTTACGTATACGCGTAAATATGGAGTATAAGCGTCTTTATACCAAATTTACGCTTGACGTAAAGTCAACTTTATTCTTGTGTGAAGCAGCAGTATCGACTGCTCAGATTGAGAAAATTAGCTTTATTTTACATAATTTAAGGGAACATAAAAGCAAGGCCGATCAACCAGTTGCTCACTTTTAAAGCTAGATTTAAAAATTGTTTGTACGGAATAGGAAGAGTCAATCAATTAATCAATTAATCTGCTGTGTTCACAATCTTGCGTGTTTGTCATAAAAACATCCTCCCATGCATGTGAGTAATGTAAGTAAGTAGAGCTTTAATTGAATACATATGGCAGCCATCTAAGGCTGAATTGCATGAATTTACAAATTCCATTAATACAAGGCTTATAATGTAAAAAAGTACTAAAACCTACAAAGTTAAGCTTAGAATACTAATTTATAAAAATTCGTAAAAATTCATACTACGAAAACTGCTAATACCTGCACATAGATGGCAGAAATGTGCTAGAAAAACGCTTGGTACGCATGACAGGATTGGCAAAGAGGCGTTGTCTTCTAAAGTTATAATGACAATAGTTCTTGGGAGGGAGAAGATGGTGCAACTTATGATCTGGATTAGATACAGTAGAATCAAACAATTTTTCGTATTGATGTCAGTATGCGTCTGTCCTCTAAAGATGCCATGTTGTATATTGACAGACTGTCATCGTAAGAAAGGCCTGGCGAAATAATTGATAGTGCACGTTTTTGAATGCGTTCAATATCCTTACTTGAGTAGTCAGGCAGTGCGTAATGGTACAGTGGGGCACAATATTCTAGAGCTGGCCTTATTCAAGAAAGATAGAAACAAATGATGTCGTGTGCTGGAACATTTGCACGCTTAAGTAATGTAAGAAAGTATATTCTTTTGTTGGCCTTTTGAATTACATCCAAGACGTGACAATTCCATTGAAGCGTGTTGGTTATGGTAACTCCTGGCAATTTTATACTATCTACGGGTTCAAGTTCTTAAGAGTTCATAGTAACTGCGTCAAAATGATGTTTAACCTTCTTAAAGTCAACAACGAGTTCCTTGCATTTATCCGCGTTCAGCTGGAGCTTGTTGATTGCAGACCACTGCTCAACAGCGTTGACAGAGACCTGCATTCCACTTTGACCACCTCTTGGAACCACCTCGGCGAGCGTGGTATCATCCACGTATTTCCATACAGTAGTATAAAAATGGAGGTATCCAGGACAAAAATTTGTCTCTATTTTTCATGATTTATTGATTTTCAATGCTATCGATTTTGCTAGGACAAAAATTTTATCTGGTTTTTAATTCATTGAATTTAATGCTATCTATTTTTGTCAGGATAAAAAGATATGTTTCATTTTTTCGTCCAAATATTTATCATATTTTATAATCTCATCAGCTAACAATTGAAGATATGTCAATTCTTTCTTCTTTTCTTCTATCTCTTTTAGTTTTATCTTCCTTCGCTTATTGTACTCTTCCAAAACTTCTTTTACAAGAGGAGAAGAAGCAACTCTTAAGTAACTTTCGTAACCTTTGAATCTGTTTATCATGTTATATGTCGGACCACCGATTGATTTCTTTCTAATGGTATATGGTTTTACACCTCTTTCTAATAAGTGGAATTCCAGCATCGATTCTCTATCGTTCAATGGTTGGGTTTCAGGTGACGTCACAAGCTTTGCTGAAGTTAGTGTCCGCCATGTTGGTGTCCCTCGGGTGTCAAATTTATGAATAATTAGTCGATTTCTATAGTGAAGCCCTCTCTCTTATCGCCGTATTATTTCGCCAACTACATGAATATCCAGAAATATTTAACTTCTAGTTCCTCCTGTTCTTCCCCTTGATTTGTGATGATCTTAGGTATAGCGCATTAGATCATATATATAATGAATTTTGCGCTATAGAAATAATAAAATTATTAAATTATTATACGAAAAAATCCTTAGTCTTTATGCTTTCCACTTTTGCTCGAACAGCCAACAATAATGCATAAAACCATCCCTTCTTTCTCACATGAACTCTTCGTTAGATACGGTTTGTTTACGCTTGAGGGACACCAAGATGGCGGATAGTAACCGTTGCTAAGGTCACGTGGGTGAAACCCAAGGATAGCCTTTCTACAGTCTCAAGATGTTCTGTATTTAATCTTAAAGAGTTTTCTTGTAATGATAAGTCACTTATATCCTTTGTGAGTCTGTCTATCTTGTCTCTGATACAATTCATTTGTTTTAGAGATAAGAATCAAATTTTTTTCATATGATGGCAATGTCCTATCCATCTACCCAGGACAAAAATTCAAATAATTTACCAAGTAAGTATAAAATAAGATAAGGATTCTGTATTCCACTATTGAGATTATCTGCTCTCCTTATCAATATATCGGCTATCTCATTGACTATCTGTTCATTATCCATACACACTTAATGCGAAATTGTAGTTTTAATACAAAATTTTTTGCTATGCTTTTGTAAATATTTTTCTACAATTGGACTATTATCAATCACAAAGTTATCAATATTATTCATTGTATTTATAAGGTGCACACTGTCAAACGTGCCTAATCTCATTGCTTCTTTAATTTCATTCAACAAGTGCTGATACCTCTGATATGCATATTGACAATTTTGAATCTTTAGATCAAAGTCTTTATGTTCCATGTATCCTTTTATCAATAATGAGATGGTGCTAATTGCTACAAGCCCAATACCGCCCGAAACAACAGCTGCAGCAAAACCTCCAGATGCAAATATCAAAGCCGCCGAATTACCAATGTATTTTTTTCGTTTAAATTTTTTAAAAGCTTCTTTATTAGCCCAAAATTTTCGATGATAAGCGTAATAATAAGCTTTTAGTTCAGATATTTCTTCTATTGATAGTTTATTTGAGATATGATTCTAGTAAAATATTTTAGACATCTACATGATCTATGTGAACTTTTCTGAGATATTTTTGTGCCCATATGCATAACTAGTAATGCCATCATCTAAGATATATCTCTTATCATCAAAAGGACTAACTGATATCTTATTTATCTCTTGACTGTTTAATATATGATGGTCACTCCTAACTGTTCTCATCTTATACGGCCTACGCTGATTATTTCTGAGGCATTCTAAATAATCTCTATGTTTTATCTCATTTTTAATGACATTCTTCTTTGCTCCTTTAGCAGTCTTGTTTTCGCTCAGGTCTCTTTTGAAATCGAATACATTTTGCTCTTTAGCAAATTCAGTTATAATCTTACCAGCAGCTTCATCATTAACGAGGTTGTAACGATACTCACAAGTTAACACCATTTTTCTAACAATCTAACAGAGAGATCTTTAATTATACCTTGTTGAAGGTTCACTCGATTTTCTAGAATTTCCTTTGTTTAAAATCAATTTTTTTTTCAATACTCCAGTTACTTATTTCCTAAAGTATTTTCGTGCCAAATTTCGTGAAATTCTAA